AAATTAGCGAATGTACACTCATTTGTAAACTAATTTGGTTTTTCGAGAGACTCATCTGCAACCCAGCTGAATCTCTCGTTTGTGATGTTTCCAGGGAACTGAATGTGCTGCACCAGGCTTCCGCTACGATGTTCGAGATGTCGCGATAGATATATGTGTTTGCAATGCACTACTCATAAGGTTGCTGAAAATTCCTCCTGGATACATCAAAACCTTGAAATTCAGCTGAGTTGCAGGCGAGTCTCTCGAAAAACCAAATTCGTTTGCAAATTAGAGTATATTCGCTACAATGAGTGGTATTTCAGGCGGGATTTTGTTGCCGCGTACCTGAAATGCCGACCGGGTGCTGATAAATAGCGTCGCTTGTACGCAGAAAAGACGTTGAATATCAAGATAAAATACGAATAAACGGTTCTGTCTAGTCGCAGACGGCACCGGCGTGGGAACTTGGCCGCATAGCGCGCGTAACTTTCAAACAGATCAATGTTATCTGTCCTTGAAGCACGCAGGAATGGGCATTTAGTGTATCGCAGACTCAGACCGACGTTGCGAAAAGTTTTTAAAGGCTACTTCCCAGTCACGGAAGAAATGCGATGAAAAAATTTATCGACTTACTTGGAGATGTACCGGTGCGACAGAATTCAAATTTTGTGAAGGTCATGACCAACCAACGAATAGTGCACCCAGAATTCTTCCACGTTGAAGAACGACACGGAAAATCGTTTGGGTTCGAACTAGGTTTCGGGAAGTCTGATTGCCACGAAGAGAATTAACGAAACTCAAGCTTTTCACAGGGGCTTGAAAAGGTTTAGCAGGTTGCCAATGCATTCTTCCTACATCTGTTTTCTCCTGTATGCTCGTAATGTCATTGAGTAGTATTCAGGTGCGTGTCAGAAACAAGAAGAATACACTCATTTGCACTCATTTTGCCAGAGAGAAACTTGGAACGCAGCTGAATCTCTCGTTTTTGTGATGTCCACAGGCAACTGCTGAATGTGCTGCACCAGGCCGTCTCATGAGGACTAGGGCATCAAATGATCCCTTGGGTGCATATCAACAGGGCTTGTGAAAAGGCATTTCTACTCTTTCTCACGTTTCGGACTAAGTTTGCTGTGTTTTTTCCAGGATTTGTGAGTTGTATGCAGCCTCAACAGGACTCTCAGTTGAATAATCGTTTATCCGGCGACATTGTACGGACTAGATAGCCGTGGAGGAAGTTGAACCGCTGAGCAAAATTTTTTGACAACTGGTAGAAGTGCCTTGGTTCATCAAAGCACCCATTATTTTGGCAAAGAAGGGAGACTGAGGGTGACCCTCTCTTTCTGATTGCTTCCTATTGGATTAACACTTTGACCACGTGTTGTTGCGTGCGATCGTCGATCGATTGCATGAGATGTGTCTCCAAAAGTGGTTGGAAGTTGATCGAACGACTGTACAGTATTAGGTCCACTGAAAGGTTTTCAACGAAACTAGGAATTGGTCAATACCAAGTTGACAGTCAATCGGGCCTCACGACCGAGTGGTCATCGTTGACGTGTACCAATGGTTCAGTCGAAACGTCCTGAAAAATCAACCTCAGTGACATGGGAATTCCTTCTGGAGTGGACTGTGTATAGTGTCAGGCTGGACTAAGTAGGGGTCTTCTAAGGAGAGGCTGTTTTCTGGGCCACGAGTGTGAACTCTCCGTATTGTTAGTTCTACTTCCTGGCACGAAATGAACAGATGGGAGAGAGTGATATGCCTCTGAAGTCACACTGCCGACGTTATACGCTTGGGCAAGTGGTACTTGATTCAGTTGGTTGTCGAAACCGCACTGGCGACTGGCACAACAGTGATGGAGGTTCTTTTACTGTACAGGGGATGATTGCCGTACTACAAATCATAAGGTGTAGGTGCACTAATAACAGTCTTTACTGTGGTTGACAGTAGTTTACAGAAGCGATTCGTATAAAATAAAGGGGTAATAACATGTGAAGCAAGTCAAAAGGGAACTTATCGTATGTGAGAGTTCTGGGGTGAAAGTCCAAACGGCGGGAACGTGTTTTTCTCCGCAGTGCGACTGCTACACGTGCTCCATAGTTGTCCGTGAAGTGACTTCTTGCTCCCTGCGCGCGCGCGAGTCTGTGTGTGTTGACTGTGTTCGATTTCCTCATATGTAGATCCGTTCGCGTATGCGTGGGCGCGTCAGCACATTCAGCACATGAGTGGTTGCTACGCTCACTAAACGGTACAGACAATCGATGTCCGATGAGTCACCTTAATGTGACGTGGTTTTTGGGTACAAAAAAAAGACAAGTCTCGTGATCCAGTGAGCGCCTGTGAGCTGAACAGTCAAGTATCTGGGTTATCGGGTAGCTACAGTTCAACCAATCGTTGAATAGACCAGTCTGCAACGCTGAGCCTAGAGACAAGAGTGATTCCACCAGAGGTGTTAAAGACTGACTTACCAGTGACATACCTCTCAAACATTCAATCGGCGATGTTGACGATTTCGTCTGCGAGCTGAATGTCACGCAACTATCCGCAGAGACGTTAATGTCATAATTTGTCAGATAAACTCTTGGCCTTGAAATCACCAAGAGGTTATTGAATCGTGATTGGCACTTGCCGTGGCTGCGATCTGCTGGCTCTTTCCCTGTTATGCGTTTTGGTAAGTTCAATGCATCTGAGGAGTCAAAATATGAGCCATTCTCATGGTTCGTCTCTGATGAACTTACTAGTAGAGCTTTCCACAAAAAAAACTGAAAAAGTACAATGCAGTCATAGCGCGGCGCTGGTTCGCAAACTAATCCTCGTCCAAGCGTGTAAACCGATTCGAACTGTGAAAAACTTCCTCGGGTGATAGGGGCCGATTGTAGCAATCAAGGTGACTTGTCGCTTCGACAAACCCAGCAAGTTCCTCCCTTCTGTATGCCTGCTCGATGGAAGCTCGCTGAAGGAAGAATGTATCAGGAAAACTGGAAGACATTGCGAAATGCCTGGACGAAAAAACGGGGTAAATGTACTGACCTCTTTTCTTCAAATAGTGACGAAACATTTGCAGTCCACTGGCCAAGCTCAGTAAACTGATCAGCGAGCGACAAACAGTTCGTGAGTCAGTTACCTGAAGTTGCCTTCGGTAAACAGGTGTTCATAGCTAGGCCATCCTTTGAGCGTCCATAGCGAAACGCTTATAACGGGGTTCGCTGTTGGTCTGAATTCGGTTTTTTGAATTTTTTCCAATACCTGTAACTATTTTATCATATGATTAACCATCATGTTTAAAATTAGTACCCAAATAGGTTTCTAGAACATACTTACCCCAAAAAATCGACCGGTATTCTGAATCCTACCTTGAATTTGTTGTATCGTGAGTGGTCGCCTATTGGTCACGCCTTCACTGAGCCTGAGCGATAAGAAGACAGAGAACTCGGGAAACGGCTGTATTGTCAGGACCTTCTGCGTAAATATACAGGATGACCAAATTGCCAAATATGGCCGTTCAGTTGTTCGCTCTGTACAGCCAATGGCGGTGTTCCGATCGTGAACAATTTCAGCTCCACTTCACTGGTCTCGTGTTGTTAAGCCGTGTTTGGTGAGCTCCGCCAACGCACCCGCTCTCCGAACGTGTCGTACCGATGGAGACCTTGGGGATGCGTCACTCTCTGCACATGTACTTTTTCCATTTCTGGGCGCGTCCCGACAAAATTACAAGGTAGATGTTGACTGAAACGATGACAAGAAAATTTCACAACTAGTCTTTACCGTATATCTACATTCAATTACTTTTAATCAAACCTCTTGGTGTGATCATTATGGTTATTCAGAACTCAAGTTTTATCCTCACTAGAACAGTTGTTTGACCTTTTCGGGCTTAAAATCCGGACTTTTCATCCCCGGGGGAATTCATCCTCTGACAGGAATCGTCAGCAGTGTTCGCCTCACGAAACTCAGACTTTCAAACCGGCACTCTTCCAGCTGGTAGTTTAACCGCTAGGCCACGAGCGCTTGATCAGCACTGCGAATAACTCGCAGTTGGAGAGGTGCAACTGGTGCAGTTCGTCCACTGTCGAACCATCCCTGCTCTCCTGCGGCTGCCAGTGCTGCCTCGGCCAATTCCCGTGCCAGATGCACCTGCTTTTTCCCACGCAACTGGCCAGTCCCTCTCGCCAACCGCAACTTGGCACCAAGCGCGGGCTGTACTCCTCCGATGAATTGGTCGGACGGCAAATGGTGGCGCGACACTCCGTCCAGTCCCGGCAAAGCGCGATCCAACGACTGACGCAGGCCGGCGGTGTCAGATCCAGGTGCCATCCTAGCCGTCTTGAACCGCCTCATAGCATCCTGGCCGGCGTGCCAAACTCCGCTACAAGGACTTCGTTCGCGGCGACCCAGTCCATCTTCCGAGGGCCTCTTCTGGCCGCATCCAGGGCCACCTTCGTGGGCCCTTAGGAGGATCTTCAGTGCCGCCAACTTACCACGGTCGGTATCCAGTCCAACAGCCTCCTCAACCTCCTCAAAGTCCTCCAGGAAGGTCCAAACGTCCGCATCCTCAAAGGGTTGTGGCCACGAGATCTTCAACCTTATCCTTGTCACGGCACCCAATGGAAGGAAGAAGGCTTTCGCCTCGGAGCTATTTTTTAAGAAATACCAACTGAACAGATACAGACTATTGGACAAGGGAGCATAACTCTCATATGCATATTGCTTACAAAACTGAATATTCATATCTCCTTGAGCTATTTTTTAAGAAATACCAACTGAACAGATACAGACTATTGGACAAGGGAGCATAACTCTCATATGCATATTGCTTACAAAACTGAATATTCATCATCTCCTTGAACGCATGTTCCTGAACTTTCCTGGATACTCAGTGACTGGTACTCAATTGCAAGCAAATGCTGCAAAGCGACTCCACAAATTCCGTAATAGCTGTTACGTTTCAAGAGACGCAGAGCCGAGTTACGGGAAAACATACTACTCGCATGCCCCCCATCAGTAATATCACCGTTACACTGCTAGTTATTCGAAACCTGAAGTAGCAGCCACTAAGTGCAACATCGTTGAACTTGGTTAATAGCGGAGAGCATTCGCACCTGGAAATAAGGCGATAAAAAACCCGACACGATCAAGAAGAATTGTTTATTACAGGACCGACCGTTCCCAACTTTTGGTGTGTGAGAGTGTAGAGGTCACCCGTCAGATCACGTGCCACAAACACTCAAACCACGTGACAATTCCTGTCCCACTTGCAGCCGACAACTCGTACACTACAAATTCTCATCCATTTTTGTTTACGCGGCCACCACTTGCGTCACGCGCCATGGACGCTTACGAGCTTCAAACACATCAGGTCAAGTTGTATTCATGTTCGTGCAAGCATCAAACTCGAAAGGACACGCCTCTCTTCACATTGTGCAGACAATAAATAGGCACACAACTCTGCCCAACACACATTCGCGCGCACAGGACAGGAAGTCAACAGAGCTCCACAAGTCTCCACGGGCAACTGCGGAACACGTGTAGCAGCTACACTGCAGAGAAGACACGTCCCGCGTCCGTAACTTCACTCAGGAACTTCCATCAGTTGTCCTCAGACGATAAGTCACTTTTTGGCTAATTCCACTTTTCGCATTGTATCTATTTTTATCAAGTACACCTAACTATTGCATTCATCAG